TATGGATTGTGATAAGAGTTGTATGAGCCCCTAATAAAATGATTTAAAAAAAGAAGCACTGAGTAAAGAATTATGTAAAGGTTTTGAGGCAAAGTATTCACATAGCAGATGAAAGGACAATAAAGTTTTAAAATAAGAAGCCCTGGTGGTGGTGTGGGTAACAGGATGGACTGCTAACTGCAAAGTCAGCAGTTTGATTCCATCAGCTGCTCTAGGGTGGAGGATGAGACTAGCTCCTTCCATAGACTTCCAGTCTAGGAAACCCAAGCGAGCAGTTCTACTCAGTTCTATGGGGTCACGCTAAGTCAGAATGGACTCGAGGGCGATTGGTTTGGGCATAGCTTCAAAGGATGTGGGATACTCCAAAAAGGAAATGATCAGACTTTAGGGAGGTGATGTTAGGGAATGAAAGGATGTACAAATTATGATCTGTAAAGTTGGGACTAGCTTAAGTGACTTGCCTTTATAATCAGACCTGAATTATTCATCTTCGATGACTATAGTAAGTGAAGGACAGAGAAGGATGAATATTATCTTCATTTTTCAAAGTTTGGGATGTGACTCACAATTAAATGAATTGCTTAAGGTTACCTATAAGCTGGCAGGGGCTCTGACTACACTGCTTGTCATGCTCTAGTATTATTCAAATAAGCATTCACAGAAATGCATTACGTACCCAGCATGGTAGGATAAATATCCACAAGAGAAACCACATTCGACACTTGTAGGTTGTTCTTAATTCCTGGCCCCATCATCAAAAGTGGGACATGGGCGCTGGCTTCATACATACTCATTTTATAAAACTGTCGGTGTTCCATGGCCAACTCTCCATGGTCTGATGTGAATATAACAACAGTATTCTGAAGGAGATCTGACTGGCGAAGAGCTGAAATAATTTCACCTACAACATGGATCAACACAAATACACATTTAAACTAGCTTCTACATCATGATTTTTTCCAATCATATGAAATTTATAAATTATATGCTATAAATGTTTTCCAGAACACTTCTTAGCATCTTTTAAAACACAAAGGGGAGTGGGAAGATGAGGAAGGGAGGGCTAAAAGGAGGAGCTGATACCAAGGGGGCTCAAGTAGAAAGAAAATGTTTTGGAAATGATGATGGCCACACATGTACAAATGTGCTTGATACAATCGATGTATTTTTATAAGAGATGTAAGAGGTTCCAATAAAATAATTTATTAAAATTAAAAATAATACATAAAACTCACAAGGGAGGAAGAATTTCAGGTACTAGAAATTAGTCTTTATATGTAAAATGCTTGCTTTATTGTTTTCCAAAACTGTAAACTGAGAATCATATCTTGAAGAGTGAATATGTGTTTAGCCTTTGTGAATATGCACATCCATTATAGTATGAATGTTTGAGCACCTACACCCCAGATACTGCTTAACTGCCAATAAATAGCCTAGACAAACCGATAACTAAGAATATGTACAAAAATGACAAGTTCTATGGAAGTCCTTTTCAACTCTGATGGGGCTCTCACTGAGTTCTTCAGACACTCCTGAGTCCCCCTGGTGGCCTGGTGGGTCATGTGTGGGACCGCTAACTACATGGTCAGCAGCCTGAATCCACCAGGCTCGCCCTGGAGAGAGATGAAGCTTCCTGCTCCTGGAAGATTTGCAGTCATGGAAACTCAAAGGGGAAGTTCTGTTCTATCTTAGAGGGACATTATAAGTTGAAATCTACTTAGTGGCAGTGAGTAGTTTGTTTTTTATTTAAATACTTTTTTTTATAATGCTATAATTTATAAAGTTATTTATAAATTTGTCATTATGGCTCTTTTGCTTTCTGCTGCATATTTTTTCCCCATGGTTATTTCTTAATAAATACCATTCTTTGTTCAGTCCCAAGGTTTGCTTTGTATAGAAGAGGGGCTACCCATACTTCACTAATAAAATTACATTCTACTTCCATGTGCAGCAAAATAAACAGTATGGTTCTATGCAAACTTTGCTACTGTCTCCACATCTGAACTGAAAACTACCATAAACAAACAGATAAGAACCTTGATAATAATCTGAGAGAGACAGGTTTAGCTTGAGCTGAACTTGAGCCTGAGCAAGAAGGACATTCAGGATGATTATGGCTCAGAATAGACATACCTTTAAAGGAATTACAGGGAATTTGTTCGACAGTTTGTACACGTCTAGAGGAACTGAAGATCCTATAGTTAAATGCTCTCATTTCCCAGAACCTAAGCTGCCTTCCAATCATCATCACGTCAACCAGTGCTTGCCTGAATAGGCTCTAAGTTAAAGTCCGTAAAAAGTTTTGCTTTAAGCAAATGCTAGTCTTCTTCTATACTCTCTTTACTTATGAACAAATTTGGGCATTTGTTAATTTATGAGTAATTAAGAGAGATGAGACTTTAAGATTTTTCTATTAATAATACAAATACCTAATTTTATATGGATCAAGATTTTTATGACTGTAAGCCTGAAGTACTAAAGCAATTGTTTTAAGGAAATACTTGACTATGTTCATACATATCAACCACCAGCATGAGCACAGTGTTGAGAAATATACTATATTTTTCTTCATGTAATTATTTATTAACTATACCACCTACCAAGCATGGCATCTGTTTCAGCACACATTGCATAATAAAATGCTCTAATATTCTTAATTTCTTTCTTGGTAAACTTCCCAGTGCAGTTTTTTGTATAAGAGGAGTAATAATCTACTGGGTGCATTTCTGATAGAGGTGACCACTTTGGGATTTTGATGGTCGTCTCCGATACCTAAAAAAGTGACAGAAAGACTTAGTTAAATGTGAGACAGCCATACGTGTGCTGCTGTTGGGTACTGTCAAGTCCCCCAGGACTCACTGTGAGTTCATGTGACACAGTAGAACTATTCCACGGGGTCTTCCTGACTGTGACCTGGGTGGAATCAGAACACTATGTGGGGGAAACCGAGGACCTGGAACAAAGTGTCCGTGGTCTGCTCCCAGCACGCCATCCCGCATGCGAGGCAAGCCTCCGCGGTAAGAGATGAGGAAAAAGCCTCAAACCCCAAGATTCCAGGAAGGAGACGTCTCTCCACAGCACATCTGCTCCCCATCAATGCCTAGACAAAGCTGCTTTCTACCGACGCTTGACTCCTCACACACACACACAGGATGCTCATCTCAAAGAAGGTTTGCTCCTCTTGTACGCTTCGTCATACTCTCTTTGAATTGGAATGCGTGGAATACCAAGACTGCTACATTGCTCATGTGTTTGATGTATATGATTAATGAGAGGCTTGCATGCCTGAAGAACTACAAAAATCCAGTTGAATGAACTCTGGGCTCTTCTACCTTTCTCGCTTCTCCTGAGAATGGAGTTGAGTCCCCTGAGCCCATTTTCACTCCTCTTCTTTATTTGCATGTGTCACTCCTAGGGCCCATTGACTGTGGGGCTGCACCCCACAACTATGTCTTCTTCAGAAAACAGCAAGGTGAGTTCAAACTCCTAACCTTTTGGTTTTCAGCTGAGCAATTAAAATGTAGTAGTATTCTTCCTCTCACTCACCAATAAGTATATGACGGGGTACCCAAAAAAACCCGGAATTTTTTCCAAAGCTTTGTATTTAAATTTGGTTTTACAAAGCAACCTATCACCATCAAAGTACTCTCCATTACACTTAACACATTTGTCATCGCGGGATTCCATTCTTGGAAACATTGTTCAAGCTCATGTTCGGATGACTGACAGCACCTCCTTCGGGTTTTCGGTTCACCTCTTCTACGTGGTCCAATCCCTGTCTGTGGTAGTTACCTAATCCCCTGTCCACTTGAGAAGGGCTAGCGGAAGTCTATAGGTGCCAATTCCCCAGCTGCATGAGCTCACTCCCTGTCTCGGGGTCACGTTTGATGTTTCTCAAAATACTTCAGACTCTCTCATTACACTTTTGAAGACCATAGACTAGAGGGCAAACATCACCTTTACAAGCACTGAGAAACACCAACAAGAACAAGGTGGGATTCGTTTATTGCAGTGGTCCTGGACAGAATTCACAGCAGCTCTGTGCTATGCCTGTAACTTGTAAGGAATCATGCTGTATTTGTTGTTTTATGTCTGGCTTGTTTTACGTAAATGTTTTCATGGTTTGCCCATGTCATAGCATTGTTCATATTGCCATTTATCCAGAACTTTTAAAGAGGGTGTTAAGTAATTAAAGCCCTGATTAAAATAGAATGCCATAAAATGGTTTTTGATTAAAACTGTTAAAGTAATTTAAATTTGATTTAGGATGACATACTCCAAATAGTCTGATCCTTTGCACTGTTCAAGTGTGTATGGATTCCAATTACAATGGTTTAGTTACGTAACACCAATCTTGCAACAACCAAGGTAAAGTTTCAGTGACCAGGGTACATGAGGACAAGTCAAAAAGTATAACCGCTAAGGTCCCGCTTTATACATGCACTGGTTTATTTCATGTTTAGGCATGTCTGTGTGATCAGTGGATGGCCATGGAAAAACGTTCTTAGTAATACACTTGTCTTAGTTCCATCCCAAAACGAAACACAAGCTCAATGCCGTCAAGTCAGTACTGACCCACAGTGACCGTACAGCACAGGCTAGAACTGGCCCTGGGGGTTTCCAGGACTGTAACTGTTTACAGGAGTAGAAAGGCCCGTCTTTCCCTGCGGATACGCTGCTGGTTTCAAACTGCCTACCTTGAGGATTGTAGACCAACTTGTAACCACTACGCCATCAGGACTCCTTTTTAATCTCATTAGAGTGCCATAAAAAAAGGATATTTTCCACTGTATTTAAAAGGTATGATTTTGAGATTAGGGCTAATATAAAAATTTTAACAAACTCAGGTGCACATCTTTCCAAATGAAGCTTTGAACAGGTTTACAAGAATGCTGCTCCATACAAAACAATAGTGTTTAGAAAGAGCCAGTGTTTTAAGGAAGTCCTGACAGGGCAGGAAGACTTTAAACATGAGCCAAGAATGAAGACCCTGAAGTCCAGAGACTGGTGGAAGGAATCCACAGAATTACCAGTGGTGCAGTTGTCACTGAAGCTGGGGCTCTGCCATGGTTGGCAGTGTAATCAAGCATCTTGCCTGGCAAGTTTGGGCTCCATGGGGGCAAACCTGTTGTGAGGTCAACTCACTCAAAGAGCTGCTCTTTCCCACCGTCTTTTAAGCAGGATTGAAGTTACGATGATTTTTCAGGACAAACCACAACCGGGGACTAATCTTGAATCCACCAAGACCATCCAGAGAATAAAGTCCAATTAAAAGTGGCTTCTGAGGGGATCTGCTGGGCCAGTTACATTTAAGACAGAAAGAACAGCTTAGATGGCTGTGTTGACTGTTTTTTGGATTCCAAAGGAACAGTCTTGTTAGACTTTCTTGAAGGACACGAGGAGCTCAGGGGTTTATTAGGAAACATTTTTTAAGAAAACTGCATTGGCGAGGAAAAGGCCAGGTAAGTGATGCTGAGGAATTGTTTTCTAACATGATATGGGCCCTGCTCATCCTTCAAGGGTAGCAAGGGCTGTCGTATGATCATTTCATTGGGTTATCTTACCCCACCCACCCTCTGATCCTACCCCTTCAGAATGGTTTGTTCCCCAAACTCAAAGAACATTTAAAAGGAGTGTGATGTGAGTCCCCTGAGGATCCCAAATTTCTCCTTCTGACACGGTGCAAATGGAGGAGCACAGAATTCTTGGGGAAAGGGTTAGAGAGATGGAAAGATGCCTTCAGACGTGTGTAGACCTAGATGGAAGCTATGTCAAGAAACGACTTCAGATCTGGACATATTTATTTAAAAACGGATTCTATGACTTTATAGCAATACTTTTTTTACTTGTCCTCATCCAAATTATAACTGTATAAAGCAAAAAATTTGCTGCCAGCTCGTCTGTCTATAAACATTATGCAAATAAGGGAATTGCAGCAGGCAATGACCAAGCTCATCATTCCTTCACGCTCCGTCGGTAGGTTGGCCAGGGCACACTTGTTACTCAGTTCACACTCAGAACCATGTATGAGGTGGTGCTGCACCCTTGTCTCCCAGTGGCACAGGGCAATTTACAACAATCAAAAGAGGAAATTGGCTAACAAAAATGAAAGGGAACTACCCAATACAAAAGCTAAGTTATAATGCTGGACGTGCTATTAGATTAAAACCTAAATGAAGTTTTGGGGGACACAGTTGACCCTGGGAATGTTTACACTGCTACCATTTGAGGTACGTTTGATCTGTAGCTGAAAGCATTCCGTGAAGGCAAACCTATAAATGAGGAAAGCAGCTATGACTCAAAAGACTGAAGATGTCTCAGAGGAATAAACAACAAAAAACTCCACATAAAGGAGATGAACGAGTCACTGCATGGCAAGAGCAAAAGACAAAATGCTGGCGGCGATTCAAACTTAGAAAGGAATAGGACCATTCATCATGATGAAGGAGAGATACTTGCTTTGCATCCTATACTGGACTGATAACAAGGTAAGCACAGTTCAAACTATGTACTAGTGATGTTCTTTTTTTTTTAAACAAGAAATGCTTTCAATTATAGTTTGCTAAATATTAGTTTTGCTATTACTTTCCATTTCCCCATTCATTTCTTTGTTTTCCCCCATATATTTATAATATGAAAAATAATTTTAAAGGTTCTATTGATTATTAAGTTTTCTCTATAAGGTTTTGCCTTGCCTGATACTTTTACAACCTGTATTACCAAGCAAAGCAAGGATGTCTGTACCCCTGCACATCCTCCCTAAGCAAATAAGATTCAATGCTGAAGTAGCTTTCTGAGTTTCAAGGCTTCCTTAATATTTGTAAGACTGACCCCCCTTTTTAAAATTAAGCAATGGTTGAGTGTGAAGGAGAATGTGCAAGTTTCAATAAGTATACAAGTGATAACTAAAGAAATAATGAGCAAATTCTAGAAACCTCCAGAGAACATGTTAACTTGCACATCTGAACACACAGCGAGAACACTTACTCTTTCGAGCCAGTAAAGGGATGTGCGAAAAGTTGAAGCTCCAAAATTTTCTCCGGAAGATGGTGAAGGGTACGGGTGTGGTAAATTTAAACCCAAGTAAAGAACAAATGGTTGAGTTTCATTAACCGCTTCCTTTCTTAGCCAATGTACTGCCCGGTCTGTGTTTATCCAGTCCCCTTTCATCACTCTAACTTCAGTCTTACTAGGGATAAGACTAACCGCAGGCCGGCCTTCTTGTCTGAGTGAAAAAGCAACATCTCTTGTCCATGCTTCTACACGATTGCTGTGGGGGCAAACAAACAGATGTGTCATAAGATATTAAAATATTTTTAAAAACATAACAATGTGGAAAACAATTTTTTTAGACTCAGCCAGTTTAGGAAAAAATTATAGATCTCAACAAGGAAGTTAATGAACAAAGTAAAAAAATAGCCATACCAAGAATCACATTTACCTGTGTGTTTTTTTCTAATCATTTTATTAGGGGCTCATACAACTCTTATCACAATCCATACATACACCAATAGTGTAAAGCGCATTTGTACATTCATTGCCCTCATCATTCTCAAAACATTTCCTCTCCACTTAATGTTGTCATATCTTGCTCTGTCCGACATCTCCCTTCGCCCACTTTTCGGTTGTCCATCCCCCAGGGAGGAGGTCACATATAGTTCCTTGGAATCGGTTCCCTCTTTCCAACCCACTCTCCCTCTACCCTCCCACCCAGTATCGCCACTCACTCCACTGGTCCTGTAGGGATCATCCACCCTGGATTCCCTGTATTTCCAGTTCCTATCTGTCCCAGTGTACATCCTCTGGTCTAGCCAGACTTGCAAGGTAGAATTCGTGTCATGATAGGGGGAGAGGGGAGGAAACATTTAGGGACTAGAGGAAAGTTGTATTTTTCATCGTTGTTACATCGCACCCTGATTGGCTCGTCTCCTCCCTGAGACCCCTCTGCAAGGGGATCTCCAGTGGCCTACTAATGGGCTTTGGATCTCCACTCCACACTCCCCCCATCATTCACTATGGTAAGATTTTTTTGTTCTGATGATGCCTTACACCTGATCCCTTCGACACTTTGTGGTTGCATAGGCTGGTGTGCTTCTTCCATGTGGGCTTTGTTGCTTCTGAGCTTGATGGTACCTGTGTGTTCTTACAACTATTAAGTTACTCATAACGATTATATTTTCTTAGAGCAAGATGATCAAATAAAAAATGTCTGATTCCTAGAATTTCTTGATATTCACTGAATTTTGTTATGTTGCTCCTTTCCTGTTAGAAGATAGCTACTATAATTTCTTTTTATCACTAAATGTATATTTTATCACTAAATATATACCTTTTATGTATATTTCATATATTCTTGAATCCCAATTAAGAATTATTTTCAGATGTATCCCTTCTCATTTTAAGAACAGTTTTAATTTTTATCAGTCATTGACTAGTGACACAAATTTCTTATCCATTACTTAAACTAGAGATATTTTCTTTGCTATCTGATTATGAGTAAATGACTCAATCAATTCAAGTTGTCCAAATCTCTAGATTATTTTATCTTACTTCATTTTTTTCAATCAATGCCTAAGTATATGTAGAGGGAAAATGGCTTAGGAAACAGTCCTGGATACTTCTAAGAAGTTTCTTTTTTTATAAGTTTCAGATGAGGCAAGTATCTCTGAAGTAGTATATACTTATATATATGAGTATAAGCTGAGGCACCTAATTTTACCACAAAAAAATGGCTTTTTCAGCATAAAAAATGTGCTGAAAGAACTCGGCTTATACTCGAGTATATACGGTAATTAAAAAAATTCAGATACAAATCTGAAAATAAAAACTATTTTATATCTAAAATTCTACTCCACTTGATAGAACATTCAGTCCACCTATAATACCTAAGGACAAAAATCCAAAAAACCCTCATTGCCACTGAGTTGATTCCAACTCATCACGACCCTTTCTTAGGACAGAGTAGAACTGCTTGCCCCTGTGACGTTCTCAGACTTTAAATCTTTCTTTTATTCCACACAATTTACATATCATATAATAGTTCAATCATTCAATCATATGAAGGGGAATTGTACATTCAGCACTACATCTATTTAAGAGCATCTGTGCCCCGCCCCCACAGCATGGTAAAATTGCCTTTAACATGAACTGTGCAATCATGAATAGTTCTAGTGCTTCACTCCTCCTCCCCTTATAATTTACTCCCAGTTCCCCTTTCCTTCTCAACCCACGACGACTTGTGAACAGCTTTACTATCAGGCAGAGACCTCTGTAATCTTGATTATGCTGGATTGAACTCGTCAGTTGGCCAGTTGACCTTTCTATAGCTAAGACCTGAATTTCTTCTGGGTGCAAGTATCTCTTAGATGTTCCATGACAGAAATTTCTTCCCTGACTTCTTGAATGTTGATGGAGGTCTTCTCCCTCTCATATTACTTGTATTACTGTCTTTATATGATCTTATCCTTACCTAGTGAGACTTATGTTTATTGTCTTCTGTTGGGTTGCCCAGCTGTGAAGCAGAGGTCTGGATGTATAATGCTAATAACTGATACAAGGTGTTTTAGGGAATGCAGGAGGGAACAGAAAGCCTCATCTTTGTCCTGAGAAGTGGCTTGTGGGTTTGAACCACAAATCTTGCAGTTAGCAGCCTGTGTAAACCAATATGCCACGAGGTCTCCTTAAGGGCCCAAAGAGGAGTCAAAAAAATTTTTTTTGCTTGCAAGTAAAAATTTAAGCAGCAATATAAAAATTGTTTTATTTCATAGTAGATATTCAATGTTTTGATAAAATTCTGAAAAACATAATTGCAAACGAATTACATATTCTAACAGATGGCATCCCTAAAATAGCATGATGCTATCATAACAACATACCATTAATTTCTCAGTGTTAAATCATTGCTGAAAGCTCACTATGTGATCCTTAAGAGTTATTATAAAGGAGTGGGAGTTTAGGGGATTAACACTAGTAGTGGAGCCCTAGTAGCAAGATGGGTTATGTGTTAGGCAGTCAACTGCTAGGTCAGCAGTTCAAAACCACCAAGTATTCTTTGGGAGAAAGATGAGGCCCCTCTACTCCCATACAGATTTACAGTCTCAGAAGCCCCCAGTGACATTATGGGTCTTATAGGGCTGCTATGAGTCAGACTAGACTTGATGGCCGTACATGTGTTTGTTTTTAACATAAGTAGTACTCATGGTACAACCCAAGTTTTTGGAGATAAGCAGGAATAGGATATTAAGATATACATAAACTCTTTAATAATCCAGAAAGCTTTCTTTTCAATCAAGGAATGTTACATGGGAAAATATGGTTGGGAAATTATGAGCAAGCCCGTAGTACAACTTAACTAATGGCAATTTTCGGTTACCTCAAGGTCTGACTCTAGGATGCAACCAGGATCTATTCAATAGTTATCATGAACATCATAATTCAAATGTCAATTCTTCCTTGGTCTTTGGGTAAATGACATAGAGGCCATAACATATCTGACTTCCCTACTGCCACCAACTGTTCCTCCCATACTACTACTTTTCAGTTGGGCTTGAGAATTTGTTGCAATGGTCACACAGAACTCGGAGCCAACACTCACTATTATGTGGGTTAAATAGGAACGTTAACAGGTCACCACAGTCAGCAAGGATGGAGTCATTGGCCCACAGCAACACCTCTTCTCAGCCAGCAGCTGAGTCTCTTAGCAATATGGTCCCTTGGTTTCTGCCTCAATGGACCTGGCAGCCCATCTGATGCTTGGCATTGGCTCATACTTGTGGTGCTGCTTCCCTGTTCTCTCAAGGTTTCCTTGCCTCAGCCTCTGGTCTGAGACAGCTTCCCTTGGCCCACCCCTTGTCTCCATTCTGCAGTGTCTGATGCCTCTGGTATAGGCCTCTACCACTTCAAAGATCTCGAATGTGCTCCACTGGGGCCTCTTCTTCTGGTGGTCCTAGGATTTCTGTTTCTGAGATGGCTCTCAGACACAAAGGACTGGGAGTGGCTTGGGTGGAGGTTTGGTTTGTGTCTCTCAGTGGACCACATCCCCAAGGAAACAAAGGGTGGGGCTTGGTTCACACCCTCTACATTCCATCACCATCTTTACAATAGTAGCAATGTGTCAGCCCACCATTGTAGCCAGCATCAAACCATCTTGTTGAAGGTCTTCCTCTTGTTTACTAGCATAATGCCCTTCTCCAGGTATTGGGCCTTCTTGATAACATGTGCAAAGAACATGTAACGAGGTCTAAGAAACACGTGGCTGTCCATCTTCCAAGACAGGTTTGTTCATTTTCTGGCAGCCCTGGTATATGGAGTATTCTTTACCATATTTTAATGCCTCTTCCCTATCATTCAAGTGTATCAATAATTCCTTGGTCTTCCTTATGCATTGTCTACTTTTTCACATAAGGTGGCTGGGCATGGCACGGCTTGGGTTAAGCACATTTTACTTTCCATAGTGACATCTTTGGTTTTCAATACTTAAAGAGGTCTTTTGTGACAGATTTGCCAAATGCAATGGATTGTTTAATTTTTTGACTGCTGCTACCACGGGTATTGATTATTCATCTAAATTCAGTATTTTGTCCATTAATTATGATTATGAATATCGGTTCCAGTGTCAAGATTTTTGTTTTCTTTATGATAAGGTATAATTCATGCTGGAGGCTGCTGCTGCGGCCTTTGGTTTTTCTCAATAAGTGCTTCAAGTCATTGTCACTTTCAGCAGGAAAGGCTGCGTCATCTGCGTGTGGAAAGTTAATGAGTCTTCCTCAGTGCCAATGCCATATTCTCCGTGTAAACCAGCTTCTCCCATGGTTGGTTCAGCACACGGATTAAATAAGGTCGCTGAAAGGATACAACTCTGCTGCGCACCTTTTCGGATCGGGAACCATTCATTCTGTATCGCCTTGTTCTGTTTCAGCAAATGTCTCTAGGTCAACACATACCAAAAACTCCAAACTCACCGCAATCCAGTCAATGCTGACTCACAGCAACGTCCTGTGGGTTTCCGAGACTATAAATGTTTATGGGCGTAGAAAGCCCAGTCTTTCTCCCAAGAAGCTGCTGGTGGTTTCAAACTGCTGACCACGTGGATCGTAGCCCAGTGCGTAACCACTATACCACCAGGGTTCTGAATAAGTGTAATTAATGTTCTGAATTTCCTGTCTTCAATAGTATCCCTAATTTATTATGATTCCCCAAACTCAAGTATTTTTGCAAAGTGAATAAAACACAGGTAAACATTTTTCAGGTATTCTTTGCTTTCAGCCATAA